GCCCCCCCCACCCTTTTTTGGTACTTTCATTGTTTTTTCCGTGTGCTCTCAATTAGTAGTAAATATTGTAATAAATTATATTTGCATATTTCTTAAGTTATAGCATGTTTTGCTTTTTAGCTGTTTGCATTTAACTTGAATGATCTACCTAATATTTAATCTTCTAACCTAGTATCTAATATCTTATTTTTATTTTTCTACTTGCTATATTAAAATTCCTTAGTATTTTTATTTGATCCCTCGTATACGGCCAGCGTTCTGACTGATAAAATAGCACTTCCGCTGCACCCGGTAAACGTACAAATTTTTTGTCACCTCGAAGGGTCACGGGCCGCCTTTGAAGTCAAAATAACAATAGAATTCCTTAGAGTGAGCCAACTGTATATGTACATATATGTTACGGTTAAAGTCCGATGTCCGGTTAATGTCGCCATTAACACGTTAATGTTTGGGTTAGGTTATGTTTTTGGTTGTTTTGTTGTGTGTTATTCTCGAGATTAACCGGGTAATGTCGACATCAACCGGACATCGGACCTTAACCGTTACATATATATTCTTTAAACTGTGCTTACATCTACTTAACAGAAGCCATGAGAACATGCCCAATAGCAGCACTGGAGATCATACTAGAGATCTACTACTATTTTTTGGACAGATTTTTTATTTTATTTTTTTTTTATTATTTAATGTGGCATTAAAAAATGCATACAACCCTAAATTTTTACTCTTCTACCATCAACCCCTATTTTTTAAATGAATGTTGTCCCATAAAAATATGTATGCCATGGTATGGCAAAACAACGTTTGCCGGGTCAGCTAGTTCATATCAATGAAAAATAGCGAGGAAATCGACATAGGAAAAAAGTATTTAATATTTTAATAACATTTTTAATTTACCGGATTTTAATATACCTTATACAGGGTGGTCCGAACTCTATTCCGGGAACTTCGGCAGTATATTCTGCAGATAAAAATAAGTAAAAATGAATGTATGACCTAAAATGCTTAGTTTTGGCTTTGGGGATGGTGGAGAAGTTTCATTTTTATTTCGATTTTTAAAATAATTTCGGAAGTAATGTTAATATTTGGATGAAACTTGGGAGTTTTTTGACGTGAAAAATTTGATTTTGATGTCAATATGACTCCTATTTGTAGGGGGCGCCACCTACATTTGTTTAAACTGCTTTGAAGAGTAATAACTTTTTGTCCGTACCTGTATAAAACTACTGAATGAAAAAATATACATTTCCGTGACTTTTTACGTAAAAAATGTTTCTTGGTAAAAATCGTTGCGAGCAACCGTTTCTCAAGATATTTAAAACGGAAATGGTCAATACATGTCACTATTGACAAAAAATAAACACTTTTTGAGTAGATAGTTACTTGACTGAAATAATAAATTCGGGAAATTTTTATTTTTTTATAATGTGTCATTAAAAAATACATACAACCCTAAATTTTTACTCTTCTACCATCAACCCCTATTTTTTAAATGAATGAATAAAAATGACTGTTGTCCCATAAAAATTTTTATATGGCAAAACAACATTTGCCCGGTTAGCTAGTTCATATCATCGTAATTTTATTTAGATTAGACATAAATTTTTCTGCAAAAAAATGATGATAAAGAACTTTTGACACAAAAACATTTCAAATTTATGATTTCAGTCGAATAACTATTAAGTAACATGTTTAATTTATGTCAATGATGACAAGTATTGATAATTTCGATTCCAAATATCTTGAAAACCATTAAGCCTAGTTCATGCACTTGCGAATTGCGATTTACGAATTGCGAAATGCGTTCTATTTTCGTTCTGATTGGCCACCTTCAAGGAAGACCTTGAAAGCGACCAATTGCAAGGCAAAAAGAACGCATTTCGCAATTCGTAAATCGCATTCCGCAAGTGTATGAATTGGGCTTTACTCGTAGCGATTTTTACCAAGAGACCTTTTTTACGGAACAATCGTCGTAAATGTATAATTTTTTACTCAGTAGTTTTATACAGGTACCGACAAAAAGTTATTACTCTTCAAACCAGTTAAAAAATATGTAGGTGGCGCTCTCTACAAGTAGGAGTCATATTGATATCCAGATCAAATTTATCATGTACTACAACCTCCCAGACACCAATTTTCATACAAATATTGACATTGTTTCAGAAATTATTTCGAAAAAATCGAAATAAAAATGAAATGTCTACACCCTGTATCTCCAAACCTAAGCATTTTAAAAAACATACATTTATACGAACTTTTCTACTTATTTTTATCTGCAGAATATGCTGCCGAAGTTTCCGGAATACAGTTCGGACCACCCTGTATATGATTAATCGGATAACAAATAAAAACTATTAATTAATAAAAACTAACAACTAATAAAAAACATAAAATAGTTGAACATATTTCGGTAACCAAAACCCACAAAATAGGCAATAAATTCCCTGCAGTGGTAAAAACAAGGAGAAAGTCAAGGCAAAAATAGGAAATATCGCATTTCAACGATTTTATATGCGCTGCTTGTGCTCGTTTCAACCCAGCGCGGCGGCCAGGGGCTTTGATCTCGATGAAACATTCCTTCTCAACCTTCAATGACGGCTAGCTGTATCGCGCCGATAAATGCGTAAGCTGAACAGAACATATTCACATTGGATTTCTGTACTTTCACTTAATACATATTTTTAGAGTTTTTTATGATTCAATTTTGGTACGCTGCTTTTATTTTTTTTTATAAAATATAATGAATGTAAAAAGTTCAAAGGATTCTTATTGACACCTAAAGTGGTTTTATAGAGGGTGAGTCTTAAATAAGCGCACATATTTTTAGAAGTAGTATATTTTGACCCCAGAAACAAACAGGTCTATGAGTTTTTTTACGAAATTTTTTTTTGAAAATTTGGATTTTTTAGTTAAAAAAACATGGTATCTTGACAATACGGTAACATAGATAGTAGATTAAATTTACAATATAGAAAACCCAGAAAAGATCCAGTGGTTCTCAAAATTTAAGAAAAAAACATTTTTTTAAATTTGAAAGTAAAATAACTTGGTTATTTTAGACTTATTATATTACATTAATGCAAGACTCACCCTGTATAAAGCATGACTTTATAGTTTTAATAACAGTAATGCCTATAATAATTATTTCTTTCCCGAATTTATTGACATACAATTATCACAAAAAAATATTATCATTGTAAATTACAAAATAAACGATTATGTTTTTATTAAATTTGTATTAAAATTTGAAAATATCAAACAAAACAGAATTATAATCTGAGATATCCTGATTTGGATAGTCGTTACAGAGCGATATTATTTATTTAGAAGGCATTTGTATAGTTTTGCTAAAATTTTAACAATTTGTTTCAGAATTAAGCAATTAATGACCACACTAAATAGATGTCAACAGATAATAAAAAATCTAACTGCTTAAAAGAACTAACCTCTTATAGTAGCCACACTACCTTAAGGCGTTTATCCACTGAAAAAGCTGAATTTTTGTGTTTTTTCAGAGAGATATTGGAAATAACTTTTCTTTTCATGTTGTCTACACCAAATTAAATGTAACAATAGAGATGTTTACAATTTATGAACACTCTAGTTGACAACTAGTTATCTTCGCCAAGACTAATTAATTCCCAAAATCAATTTGTTGCTCCAAATAACAGACATGTTTCGGTTCACAAACGCTCTCTCCAATTAAATAACGGCAATAATGGACAATATATGTATTCTTTCGATATTTATCACCAAAAAGAGAGACACTGTTTCCATTTTTTTTCACAATTTTTGTTGAAAACTTGCGGAAATTACAGCTACTTTTGTCACCAATGCCTTATTAGCAACATAAAAGTTGGTAATTTTCATTTAATGGAGAATTAGCTCGTTTCCTACTGTTGCCAAGTTAGCTATTTTTCGTTTTTTTAGTTAAAAAATAATTTTGCGTCTAGCGGTTTTTTAGGGGTTTAAATTTCTGAATAATAATAACTAATATTGACAACACAATTTTTATTTCAATTCTACTCAAAATTTGCACCAATAATCGCGTAATTATCATATATTCTTTATTTATCTAGGCCTCAAATTGCGTCCAATCTTCGAAGTCACGTTAAATTCGTCTCATTATTTGACAAGAGCCTTACACAAAGGTTCAAAAAAAACAACATGGCAGAATTTCACTTTTAATTTCGCTCTTGGCGAATTCTAGAGGTTTTTAGTTACGAATCTAGCGGATATTCAGCTTCGAGAGTTGGCAACCCCAGCTGTATGTGGGCCAGTGTTGCCGTCTTAGTGGTTTTCTAACTAAACCTGGTGATTTGGTCTAATGGCTGTTTCTTTTAGTGGTAACTTATATTCAAAACTGACAACCCCAAAGCCCGGTGGAGGGCCTAGCTACTAGATTGTTAATAGTTGACATTTGTTGTATATCACAAATCCACCAAATTTTAACTGTTTAAAAAAAATATATTATACAGGGTTAGTCTTAAATAAGTGCAAATATTTTCAAGGTTGGTAGATCGCGACGAGTTACTATACCTTGAACATTTCCAAAAAATGAGAGAAAAAATTTTAATTTTTTTTTAAAAATTTATTTATTTTTTAAAATTTTAATTAATTAAATTTTGAGAACCACTGGATTTTTTCTGGGTTTTCTATCTTGTAAATTTAATCTACTACCTATGTTGCCATTCTATCAAGAAATTTTGTTTTTAACTAAAAACTAGAAAAAATTCCAAAATTTTTTTCAAAAAATTCCGTGAAAAAAATGTGAGGTCGAAACATACTACCCCTAAAAATATTTGCACTTATTTAAGACTCACCCTGTATAAGGTTTAATTCGCACAACAAAAACATCTAAAAAAAGTTCTCTTGTCAGCCCTTAAGTAAACTTTACTGAGTAAACTCGAGCCCACCACTTTATCGACGCGAACCGCTCACGAAATTATCACGGCACACTAAAAAGTTTATCTTTTGTAAAGCGGTTGTTTTGTATCAGGCCGAGCGAGCGGCATTCATTTATTTCTCTTCCCTCCGTTAGTCCGTTTATTGCCTGCCTCGTATCAAGAGCGCATTGAAAAAGTCGTTCGTTATCCGATACGTTTGAGCGTAGAAAACTCGAAGAATTTAGCGTTTGAATACGGAAAAAATGGACTGCGATAGGCGGCCGCGTCTCAGACGTTTACGTGTCGATATTCTCGCGTAGAAATACGAATAATTTCAGTCAAAAATCGGAAATTATCCACATTATGGAGCGCGGCATCAGCGGTGCTTTTGTTTTGGTGCTGCTCGTCACGGCCTGCTTGACTTGGGGCTCGGGAGCGGAACGTTGTCAGACGATTTCGTCGAATTTGTGCAAGAATCTGGGCTACAATTCGACCACGATGAGAAATTTCCTCGACCAGGACGGCCAGATGAACGCCGATCTAGGGGTAATAACAATTTTTTTTATTATCTTCCATAATCTTTTATCTTTATGGTCCTGTGTTATCGTGATCCTTTTTGTACGTCGGCTGTCTTGTGTCTGTGTGTGCGTGTGTTATTTCGTACAAACAGCGATGTGTTCGGGTAATATATTTTATTGCCCTACAATAACTGATAGATTTTCGTCTTGTGATACCTAGCGGTATTTTTATACCTACACACATTCTGACAACTATTATTCACATTTTGGATAAAGTTTTATGGTTTCTGCTTTAATAAAACTTTTTTTATAACTTTCCTAATCATTAACGATCAATATTCAATTGTAATCCGTTAAATAATAGGGCAATAACAAAACAACACCATACATTAATAAATTATGGATTCATCACTATGCATTTCTTCATGAAAGAAAACACCTAGCTCCAGATGTAGAAAATCCAATAAAATAAATAAGCGTTAATCAATCATAACAATCATAAAAGAAAATCAAAAAAATAATTGATTATAACTGGAAATTTCTACTTAGGTTTTTAGATTTAGATAATTAATTCAAGTTTCAACAATCAACACCATCATTAGGACCATATGAACTCTTGGCTCTTACAATAACTGATAGATTTTCGTCTTGCGATGCCTAGCTGTATTTTGATACCTACACACATTCTGACAACTATTATTCCTATTTTGGATAAAGTTTTGTGGTTCCTGCTTTAATAAAACTTTTTTATAACTTTACTAATCATCAACGATCAATATTCAATTGTAATCATTAGCGTAACTAGTAACTCATCCTAGGGGGGGCCTGGTGATGAGCCAGGGGGGGGCCTAGGTCTTTTGGTTTTTAAAAAATGAAGAATAATTTAAAAAACACGTTTTTTGAATAAAACGTTTACATTAATTTCTATCAGTAAATTTCATAGATTTGGTTATCAAATCGTGTTCCCGTAGATTACTTAAATACCTACAAATTTTATAAAAAAATAAAAATTAATACATTTTTTGAACTCAACAAAATAATGTTAACTAAACAAAACTAGAAAACGTAATTTTTAGTACATCACAAGCAAATAAAAATTAATACGTAGCCAACAGTCATAATTCAAGATTTCTGGTGGGTGCCCAGCAGTACCTAGGGGGGGGGGCGGTACTCACGGGCCCCCCTTTAGATACGCCAATGATTGTAATCCGTTAAATAAAAGGGCAATAACAAAACAACACAGTGCATTAATTAATTATGGATTACACTATCAATTTCTTCACGCTGAATGTGTTCTGAAGATTGCATAAATGTATATAATTGTGAAGTAATGAAAGAAACACCTAGCTGCAGATGTAGAAAAGCCAATAAAGCAAACAAGCGTTAAATAATTAACTATAACTGGATTGTCTACATAGATTTTTAGATCTACTTGATTGATGATGCACTCTTGGCTCCCTCAATAACTGATAGATTTTTGTCTTCTGATACCTCTAGCCGTATTTTTATACCTACACACATTCTGACAACTATTATTCACATTTTGGATAAAATGTTATGGGCACTGTTTTACTTTACTAATCATCAATGGTCAATATTCAATTGTAATCCGTTAAATAAGAGGGCAATAACACAACAACGCAATACCGTTATTTATGGATACATTATTATCCATTTCTTCATATTTTGTTTCATTGAAATGTCAACATGCTGCATGTGTTGTGGAGACCTTAAATTAAATGCATATAATTGTGAAGTAATGAAAGAAACACCTAGTTGTAGATGTATGAAAATCAATAAAATAAACAAAAGAGCGTTAATCAATCATAACAATCACAAAAGAAAATCAAAAAAATAATTAACTATAACTGGATTGTCTACTTAGATTTTTAGATCTAGTTGATTCATTCAATTTTCAAACATCAACACTATCATTAGGACGATATGAACTCCTGGCTCCTACAATAACTGATAGATTTTCATCTTGGGATGCCTAGCGGTATTTTTATACCTACACACATTCTAACAAATATTATTCACATTTTGGATAAAGTTTTAGGGTTCCTGCTTTAATAAAACTTTTTTTATAACTTTACTAATCATCAACGATCAACATTCAATTGTAATCCGTTAAATAAATGGGCAATAATAAAACAACACAATACATTAATTATGTATTCATCACTATGTATTTCTTCATACTGCATGTGTTCTGAACATTAAATGTATATAATTGTGAAGTAATGAAAGAAACACCTAGCTGCAGATGTAGAAAACCCAATAGAATAAACAAGCCTTAATCAATCATAAAAGAAAATCAAAAGAATAATTAATTATAACTAGTTGATCTAGTTGATGCATTTAAGTTTCAACCACTATCATTAGGACGATATGAACTCTTGGCTCCTACAATAACTGATAGATTTTTGTCTTCTGATACCCCAAGTCGTATTTTTATACCTACACACATTCTGACAACCATTATTCATATTTTGATATAGTTTTATGGACCTGCTTTAATAAAACTTTTTTATAACTTTACTAATCATCAGCGATCAGTATTCAATTGTAATCCGTTAAATAAAAGGGCAATAACAAAACAACACAATACATTAATTAAATAATTATGGATTCATCACTACCTATGCATTTCTTCATTCTTCATGCTGCATGTGTTCCGATTCTGAATATTAAATTTATATAATTATGAAGTAATGGAAGATAGCTGCAGATGTGGAAAACCCAATAAAATAAACAAGCGTTAATCAATCATAAGAATCATAAAAGAAAATAAAAATAACTATAACTGGATTGTCTACTTAGATTTTTAGATCAAGTTGATTAATTCAAGTTTCAACCATCAACACTATCATTAGGACAATATGAACTCTTGGCTCTTACAATAACTGATAGATTTTCGTCTTGTGATGCCTAGCTGTATTTTGATACCTACACACATTCTGTGACAACTATTATTCACATTTAGGAATTTTTATGGACCTGCTTTAGTAAAACTTTTTTTATAACTTAACTAATCATAACCATCAATATTCAATTATAATCCGTTAAATAATAGGGCAATAACAAAACAACGCAATAGATTAATTAATTGTGGATTCATTATTATCCATTTCTTCATATTTTGTTAAATGTCATGATGCTGTGTTATGAAGATGTTAAATTAAATGCATATAATTGTGAAGTAATGAAATAAACACCTAGTTGCAGATGTATGAAAACCAATAAAATAAACAAGCATTAATCATAAAAGAAAATCAAAACAATAATTCACTATAACTGGATTGTCTAAGTAGACAAGTAAGGCATAGTATGAATTTAAGTAAATCCTTAGATTTAGTTGATTCATTCAAGTTTCAACCATCAACACTATCATTAGGACGATATGAATTTTTAGCTCCTACAATAACTGATAGATTTTAGTTCTGTGATACCTACCTGTATTTTTATACCTACACAGATTCTGGCAATTCCTATTCACATTTTGGATAAAGTTTATGGACCTACTTTAATAAATCTTTTTTTATAAAATAATTAATCACATCAGTGGTCAATTTTCAATTGAAGAATGGAAATACGAAAGGGGATAAGTGCAAAAATTATTTTTTGGAGATAAATGAGAAAAACACAGTAGAACTGAAACTAATAAAATACATATAATATACATAAAAAATAGACGCTTTCGCTTGGCACTTGTAACTTTTGTTAGGACATGCAGTATGGTATTTATTACGTTTCTAATGCAATAACTTTAATTTTTCAATATTAAATTTGGCACTTGCCCGCTTTGGTATTTCCCCAATAATTGTAATCCGTTAAATAATAGCTCGACACATTAATTATTATTATTATTATGGATACATTATTATCCATTTCTTCATGTTTTGTTTCATTGAAATCAGCTGCATGTGTTCTCAAGACCACAATGAAAGAAACACCTAGTTGCAGATGTGTAAAAACCAATAAAATAGACAAGCGTTAATCAAACATAACAGTCATAAAATAATATCAAAAGCTATAGAACGCTCCTTTTCTAGCTAGACCGTTTGCTTTTTCATTGCCTTCTATCCCTTGGTGAGCTGGTGCCCAGAGTATAAGGACTTTATTTTCTTTGCCTAATTTTTTCAGCTTCTCTAGGCTTTGTCGTAAATATTATAGACTAATTATTATAGACTCATTCTTTGACCAACTTCGAATTGATGGTTACTGAGTTTTTATTGATGGTTACTGATCGATTTTAGTTCTGATTGAATATCAATAGGACGATATGACTTTTTGGCTTCTACAGTACCTCACTGATTTTCGTTTTGTGCTACCTAGCTGTTTTTTTATACCTACACACATTCTGACAACTATTATTCATATTTTGGATATGGATTTTGGAAGTTTGTGGACCTGCTCTGATGAAACATTTTGAATTGTACCTATATCAAATTTAATGTAATTGCGTAAAATAGAAAATGCAAACATTTTGTTAAAATTTTAGAGACGAATTTTTAGTAAAATATTATTTCTTTAACCATACAAAACATTCGATATTCAATAATTTTCTATAAAATATTAGTCTAACAACAACGCTAATAACTAATAGCTGTTAACTATAACGCATTACATTAATTATGGACATCCACTTTATTGCTTCAACATTAAAATTTCAACATTTCTTTCAACAACATACAGATGGGGATGCTAAAAAAGAAATTAGCCATTCATTTAAATTACAAAGTCCTTTAGAAAAATCAACACTAGTTCAAAGGATATTACTTTATGACATAACTATTATAATTTTTCAATCACGAGATACAGTAAAAATCATGCATCAATATAAAAAACAATAGGGTAATTAATGTAATTATGTCTTGTCTGTAACTTATATCAGTTTCATTAAGATCAATAATTCTTAACATTTCCAACGCTCAATATAATATTTTAGCGCCTGGTTGCTGTCTTCGTTAACACATTTTTATAACTTAACTAAGGACAAACAACTTTATTTTAAAATCAAGAATT